AAGCTCCGATTGAGATGATTCAAGATGATATGGAATGATACGAAAGAACTCTAAAACTTTAATGTTTTGAGTTTTGAGAGATATTGACTGTATCAAGGTCTAAATCGAGCTTGAAGTTGCAGCATTGCACTGTTCATAGCCTGTCTTCGTCCCTTTTCCATTTCCAATCCATTCCTAAGCCAACCAAATCTATCCCAAACCTCTTCAACACATATTTCTACACCAAACCTATTTAATACAAGTTCTAGGACCTAAAATTTCATATTTTCACTTATTAAAATCAAATTTCAACTATTATTTTCACTAACATTTTAAATCTCTACTTTTTCAATCTACCAAATTCAAACACACATCACTACATATATCCACATTTTTTTTATCACAATTATTTACTATATATCTATATACATATATAAAAGAAAATGCGGGGTGTTACAGTTAAAGTCTGCTCCACTGTTTTTTATGGTGAAAGGTGCATGAGGCGCCAAGTTCTCTTGTGTCCTAGGCGAGAGCCGTGGGCTTCATCTAGTCGAGACGCATGTTGTAGATGAATGGGAATATTATAATGTATATTGCAAATATAATTGAATGGAACAATAAGAAAATCNTAAAGTCTGCTCCACTGTTTTTTATGGTGAAAGGTGCATGAGGCGTCAAGTTCTCTTGTGTCCTAGGCGAGAGCCGCGGGCTTCATCTAGTCGAGACGCATGTTGTAGATGAATGGGAATATTATAATGTATATTGCAAATATAATTGAATGGAACAATAAGAAAATCTTGGGCAAATACAAGATATATAGTTTACCTCAAGAGCAAGGATCAAAATATCGTTTCAAAACGGTCGAAACGTCTAAAGCGTTTCCGTTTTGAAGAAGACCGAAACGAAACAGTGATGGAATTGAAATTCTGATATTCGAGGTATTCCATAATATTTTTAAATGTATTATAATATTTCAATGCATTTGCACAATTGTTTTAGANGAAACGGTCGAAACGTCTAAAGTGTTTCCGTTTCCAAGGAGACCGAAACGAAACAGTGATGGAATTGAAATTCTGATATTCGAGGTATTCCATAATATTTTTAAATGTATTATAATATTTCAATGCATTTGCACAATTGTTTTAGAATGTTTCAAGATATTTCAAAATACTTTGATATATTTCTTTCAGTGGTTTAGAAAAATAATTCTTAAATTTTTTATTTTTTTAATTTTGTTTCCGAAACGAGTCAAAATGTTTTCGAAACACGTCGAAACTTCCGTTTTCTAAGTGACCGAAACAATACACCGAAACGATATTTTGATCCTTGCTCAATAGAAGATGTCAACAATTCTACAAAATAGAGTTAATTCCAAAAAAATACACTAGATACAACTCATTTTAGCTAGTTTCTACAACATAAAACGAATTACAACGAGATTCCTATCAANGAAACGTTTTCGAAACACGTCGAAACTTTCGTTTTCTAAGTGACCGAAACAATACACCGAAACGATATTTTGATCCTTGCTCAATAGAAGATGTCAACAATTCTACAAAATAGAGTTAATTCCAAAAAAATACACTAGATACAACTCATTTTAGCTAGTTTCTACAACATAAAACAAATTACAACGAGATTCCTATCAAAACTAATCAACTTTCAAAATATAAATTTGGGCAANAAAAAATACACTAGATACAACTCATTTTAGCTAGTTTCTACAACATAAAACGAATTACAACGAGATTCCTATCAAAACTAATCAACTTTCAAAATATAAATTTGGGCAAATAATGTTAAACTACCACCTCACCCCATTAAAATTTTTATTATTAAACTACTAAGCCCACCCTTTCTATACCCACCTGATGAGGTTATGTTGGAGTTGNAAATAATGTTAAACTACCACCTCACCCCATTAAAATTTTTATTATTAAACTACTAAGCCCACCCTTTCTATACCCACCTGATGAGGTTATGTTGGAGTTGGTTAGATCAGTGTTATTTAAGGCGTAAAGCGAATTAAAAGCGACTAAGTCTCCTAAAGGTTAGACGAGAAGCGAAGTGAAATGCTTCATCAAAGCGAAGCGAGCAGTTAAAAAAAAAGAAAATATTTTAGTTTAATTACTTCTAAATATCTAAGTTTTAATTTTACAAATACTAAATATTTAAATGCAAGCAGAACCATAAGCATTTCATTTCAAACAAACATTAGTAATATTTCAAATCTTAATGACAACCATAACTTAAAAAAGTATTACAAAAAATCAGAATAAGCAAAAATAAACAGTATAGAAAATAAGCAAAGACATTACAGAAATAAGCAAAAGTATTACAGAAAATCAGCATTAAGTATTATAAAAAATCAGCAGAAGCAGGGATCAACAAAATCAACAAATTCAGCATTAAGTAGAGAAAATCAGCATCAAATTAAAAGCAAAAAAAAATAGAATCAACATTACAGAAAAAAGTAGAATCAACAACATCAACATTAAGCCGAATTAGCATCAGGGAAGCAAAAGTAGAAGCAGAGAAGTAGAGAAGCAAAGCAGAATCAGAACCAGAAGCAAAAATAAGTAGAAAAGGAGAAGTAAGAAGTAGAAGCATAGAAACAGATGCAGAGAAGCAGAACCAGAAGCAAAAATAGAGAAGCAGAACCAGAAGCAAAAATAGAGAAGCAGAATCATAACCA